TACGGGAGACAGACACTCTTTGAATTTCATCCTGCCTTAGCTCTTCGTTGCTTGCTTCGTGGGCCATTTTCTAGAAGATGGCAGAAGGGCCCAATCTCTTCATTTAAAGCAGTTATTTGGGGTTGACACCTAAGTCCGTACGACTCGCCTACGCGCCGGATGCAGCAATTCCACGCAGGTTTGGAAAGCCATCCTCTCTACCCCTGGCTTTCTCAAACGCAGCACTCCTACCACGTGGAGCCAGATGCTTGGCTGCGGGGACTGTCCTGTGCACTCCAGGATGCTGGTGACATCTCTATGAGACGTCAGAACAGCTGCTCTCAGACAGTACCCAATGTCCCTCGGCGGCACAGAACTGCTCCTGGCTGAGAACCACTGTTCTTTTTTTTTTTTTTTTTCTCATTTATTTGACAGGTAGAGTTACAGACTGTGAGAGAGAGAGAGAGAGACAGAGAGAAAGGTCTTTCTTCCATTGGTTCACCCCCTAAATGGCTGCCACGGCCAGCGCTGCGCTGATCCGAAGTCAGGAGCCAGGTGCTTCCTCCTGGTCTCCCACACGGGTGCAGGGGCCCAAGCACTTGGGCCATCCTCCACTGTATTCCTGGGCCACAGCAGAGAGCTGGAGTGGAAGAGGAGCAACCGGGACTAGAACCCGGCGCCCATATGGGATGCTGGTGCTGCAGGCGGAGGATTAACCTACTGCACCACGGCGCCGGCCCCGAGGGCCACCGTTCTAATTCAATGACCAGTCCTGGCTGTTTCAGCCGTAACTCCTCATGTTCACCTGGTGCTCCTTCAGATCTCCGCATGGGGATGTTCTCTCTCCATCCGACTCAGCCAAGATTCACAGCACCTCGAAGGCACGCATCAGGGGCTCTGGGAGATGGACACTGCTCCTGCCTTCAAGCACAGGTTTCCTGGGGCACAGGCCCACCAAAGAACCCTAATAAAAGACACCCAGCTAGAAAGCGTTTTGAACTGACCTTTTCCCCCTTTGGAACTCTCATCTCATCAAACTGAAAACACCTTGAGCACAAGGACCCTGACCTGTCCGGGGGTCCCAACACCTGATTAATGGCCGGTAAGAACAACCATGAACTTCATCATAACTCTAGAAAGCAAAGACTCCAGAGTTAACTGAACCTGCCTCAGCTGTAGTGTGTTCCCCTGTAAAACTGGAAGAAAATGGGAGTTGAGAGAATTAAACAATACAAGTAAATCTTTCTCCACACACTGGCACAGAGTAGGCATTCAAGGCACATAAGTTATCACCACTATCTTATTAGTAACATATCCTAGTTCAAGCCGGCGCCGCGGCTCACTAGGCTAATCCTCCGCCTAGCGGTGCCGGCACACCGGGTTCTAGTCCCGGTTGGGGCGCCGGATTCTGTCCCGGTTGCCCCTCTTCCAGGCCAGCCCTCTGCTGTGGCCAGGGAGTGCAGTGGAGGATGGCCCAGGTGCTTGGGCCCTGCACCCCATGGGAGACCAGGAAAAGCACCTGGCTCCTGGCTCCTGCCATTGGATCAGCGCGGTGCGCCGGCCGCAGCGCATCGGCCTCGGCGGCCATTGGAGGGTGAACCAACGGCAAAGGAAGACCTTTCTCTCTGTCTCTCTCTCTCACTGTCCACTCTGCCTGTCAAAAATAAAAAAAAAAATTAAAAAAAAATTTAAAAAAAGTAACATAAGTAACATATCCTAGTTCAAAAGGAAGACCTTGCTCTGGGCTGCAATAACCCCCACACGACATAAAAAATAAATCCGCTATTACGTGCTTTCTGAGGACAAGAGGAAGGAAAGTAACTGAAAAACATTTCTACTAATGTCCTAGGAGGAAGAAGTGAATGCAAGAACCAGTTAGAAGTTGGAGGGGAAGGTGGATCACACCAGGAGAGAAACCCAGTGTACCAGCCCGTGTACTTCTGGATCCAGTGTACTCTTAAGATCTTCCCAGGGGCCAGCGTTCTGCCATAGCAGGTTAGTCAGCATCCCATATGGGTGCCCGTTGGACTTCTGGCTGTCCCATTTCTGATCCGGCTCCCTGCTAATGCACCTTGGAAGGCGGTGAAAGATGGTCCGTGACCTTACTATGCTAAAAGAGGCTTCTCAAGAGTCAGGCACTGACTCTCCCTACTTTGAACAGGTGCTCATACAATGGGCAGCGAACCTTCAAACTCATTTTGACTGGGTTACACTGCTCAAGGCATGTTTGTCGAGATCACAGTTCTTACAGTGGAAAGCCTCCTATGAGGAAGAGGCTGAAAGCGTGGCGAGTAATAATGCTGCCCGTGGAATAGCAGTAACCTTTGATATGCTCACAGGCCGCAGCACCTACATATAGCCTGATGAACAGGCCTGCATTGGAGTAGTTGCCTATTTTGACCAGGTCAGAGATTTGGCACTCAGAGCCTTAAAAAATATAAATCCTCCTAATTACAGTCAGCTCTTTAGAAACCTAGTTCAAGGCCTAGGCGAATGGTTCCCCAATTTCCTTGCCAGAATCTTGGAGGCAGTAGAGAAAAGATTACCGCTTGGCCCCGATCAAGACAATCTGGTCAAACAATCAGCTTGGGAAGGTACTACCAAAGAGACAAAAGCTGCAATTGCCCCAGTCCATAATGAAGACATTTCTAAATGGATAGCAGCTACAAAGGAGGTAAACCCTGCTGATACACCCATACAAGCCCTAACTGCAGCCATTAACAAGCTGAACACAAGGTCTAATGACTTCCGGTTTGTTGGGGATGTCAGGAAACAGGACACCTACGGCGAAACTGCCCAAACGCTGACAGACAGGGCAAGCCCAAAACGCTGTGTCCCAGGTGTAAAAAAGGCTTTCACTGGGCAAAAGATTGCAAGACCAAGCCTTTAAACTCCCAGCAGGGCGGCCCTCAGTCCAGCAAGTAAGAGCGAGTCCCACCACCATTAACTGGTCCATGCCTATCTTCAAGTTGAGGCTTAAATTGACCCTATATTTAGATGACATTGCCTTTTTGGGTTTAATTGATATGGGGGCAGATGCCACTGTCTTAAAAGCTAGGGACGCAAGGAAAATGCAACATTGGAAGACAGTGCCCAGCTAGCTCAGTTGGTAGAACATGAGACTCTGAATCTCAGGGACGTGGGTTCGAGCCCCACGTTGGGCGCCAGATGTTGCGGTGGATTCGTTCCTAGAGGAGGAGCGTGGTGGGGGCAAGAGGTGCGGAGTCACCACACAGACCCCGGGAGCCGGGTGAAAGCAGGCCAGAGGTGAGCAGCTCCTCCTCTCAGAACGAATCCACAGATCTTTCTAGTTAAAATGCTTGGGTAAGAACCTAAAGAGGAAGTAAAAGGGGCTGGTGCTGTGGCACAGTGGGTTAATTTGCCACCTGCAGAGCCGGCATCCCATATGGGTGCCGGTTCAAGTTCCGGTTGCTCCACTTCCAATCCAGCTCCCTGCTAAAGCACCTGGGAAAAGCAGCAGAGGATGGCCCAAATCCTTGGCCTCCTGTACCCATGTGGGAGACCTGGAAGAAACTCCTGGCTTCAGCCTGGCCCAGCCCCAGCCATTGGAGTCATCTGGGGAGTGAACCAGCAGACGGAAGACCTCTCTGCCTCTCCCTCTAAGTCTGCCTCTCAAATACACAAAAATAAATCTGTTTTTAAAAAAAGAGGAAGTAAAAGCATGCTTGAGTTATAAATACTGGCACATGCAGGGGACAGGTGTTTACGAGCCGTGTACACCTTCATAAAGCGTTTACTTGCTTATTGTGCTTAGAATTTCTATTGCTATATTTAAATATGCCACCACTTTTTAACTTAATACAAGCACAGCATGTTAAAAGGGGAAAAGGGCAGAAATTATTTTAAAGAACATAAATTCGCAGGAAAGAGCTGAGTGATTCACAGGTGTGACAGGGACAGCCAGCGAGAGCTCCCATTATAGGATGAGAGAGCTGGGTGGAAGTAGAAGAGGGGACGAGATACATTTAAGAACACGGCCCTGGGCAGCTAGGGAGTGAGGGCAAAACCAAGCCTTATTCCCCCAGCAGGTAACGAACGCGCCCCTGCGGCAGCCCATGGGCCCCGCACCAACTGCCTTAGACACAGCGGCTCATGTGAGCCCCCCACCAGGACCCACATTTCACAGATGAGAAGTGATTCGCCCAAGGTCACTGAAGTAACCTGAGGCCCCGGCTCCAATCCAGGCACGCGGGCGCCAAGGCGGTGTCTCAGTCCCTACACTCGATGGAGTGTCTGAAACTCAGATCTCGCAAATAAATGTACTTAATGAGGCCTGTCCCCTGCCCTCCACCCTTGCACTGTGGTCATGAGGAGGCTGAAGCCTTCCGTGGGGGGCTGCAGAGGTGCCGAACAAGGCGGTGGCAGTCTGGGGGCGCGAGCGAGGTCGCCCAGTTCTGCTCCAGCCTCCATCGCCTGCTCGGCTTGGACCACTACGCTCACTCCGCAGACCCCCGGCGCCGACCTGCTCTAACGCTGCTTTCCGTCTGTCCTCCAACGAGATGGGAGGAAGGCGGCGAGCCAGGGGCCTCTGTGCCCCGAGGCCAGGGCCAAGCGAGCTTCTGGACAGAGGAAGGGGAGGCTGCCAACCCGGATGGGGGCAGAGGCGCGTGGAACGGCTGGGGCAGGGGACAGAGGTGAGGAGGCAGGAGCAGGGGCGGCCAGGCCGGCGGCGTGGGCTCTGGACCCCGGCTCAAGCGCAAACGGCGCCAGCCAGGGGGCAGGGTAACCCTGTCACCACCGCCCCGGCAGATCTGAGAAAGGAAGCGGGACAGGAACCAAGGCATTTCGAAACAGAGTGGAAAATAACGTCAAGCGCAGCCCAGGCAGCGGCGGGGACCGGGGTCGCGCCCCCCGTGGGGAGCCAGGCCCCGCGCGCACAGGGGCTGCCGAGGTGGGCAGCTGCGCCGGGAGCGCGGGGCAGAGCGCGGCGGGGCTGGCGCCGGGGTGCGGGGCCCCGAGGCCGGCTGGCAACCCCCCGCCGGCGTCCCGGCCTTGCGTACCTGAGCCCGCCGCCCGGCTCCCCTGCTCTCCCAGGCCGTCTCTTCCAACACCGCCGGCCGACCCCGGACGCGCTGCGGGGCTCCAGAAGCCCAGCCCCTCAGCCGCCTGCCGGTCCGACATCTGCAGCCCGCGCCCGGAGCGTCTCCGCCGCTAGTCGCGAGTGGCTCCGGAAACAGCCGAAGGCCGAGCGAGCGGGGCCGCGGCGCGCCGAGAAGAGCCGAGCGGCGCCGGGGCCGGAAGGAGGGCGCGCGGGCCGCGGGAAGAGCGCGCCGGCTCCCCACAGACGCTCCGGCCACGCGGACGCGGGGAAGGTTACTGTATGCTTCTGATCGCCGGTTCTGAAAGTCAGGGTAGAAAGAACCAACAAAACCTGGAGAAGATTCAGGAAGATGCTGCCGGAAATCGTGGTGTCCATGGAGACGTTATCGGAAGTCGGGGTTGCTAGGAGGCCTGGGTGCGTCCGCTAAGCTGCGTAATGGCTGAAGTCCCAGAAGATTTATATCCTGGCCCAGAAGAAGAGACGCCGGAACCTGAGACCCCAGGACTGCCCGGACCTCTTAACTTGTCTGAAGATGCCAAAACAGACTCCGCGGCAGAGGCAAGCCCAGAGCCGCCCTCAGAGAATGACCAAGAGCCACAGCCAGAAATTGAGCAAGAGGATTTCGGAGAGGGGGAGCCGGAGGGTGCTCCGAATGTCTGGCTACGACCCACCTGGACGCCGGAGGACGACATTGCCACGGACGCCGAGACGGACTTCTCGAGTGAAACTGAGCCAAGGATTCCCCGAGAGGTCAAGTCAGACACTACCGGAGAGATGGAAGAGGAGATTTTCAAGGATTTGGAGGTGCTTGCGGATGGGCACCATGAGGAGCCCGGGCTGGAGCCACCGGAGGAGGCTAAATCCGACGTTACAGAGGATGTAGGCCTGGAGTCAGATGAGGATACAGAGCTGTCCTCGGAGGTGCCCGTGGCCACAATGAGTGGGAAAATATTTGAGTTTCTAGAGGAGATCGGACAGCAGATACTAGAGGAATCACTTAGAGAGCAATTTGAAGAAACTGATCTGGAGCCTCCAGGGCAGACCAAACCAGATTTTCTAAGTGAGAAACCAAGAAAATGGGTTGAAGAGACAGATCTAGAACCACCCGAGATGACCGACCCAGAGATTGCAGAGGAAACCCAAAGAGAGTTTCCAGAGGACAAACCAACAGAGTCAACAGAGACAGTTCCAGAGCCACTAGAAGAGATCAAATCAGAGTTTTTCGAGGAAGAATCAAGGAAACCAAGTCTGGAGCCATCTGAAGAATCAGAAGTTCCAGAGGAGACCAGAAGAAACTCAAATGAGGGAGTGGAAACAAAGCCACCCGAGGCTACTGGTCTAACACCATTGCAGGAAGTTCAAGAGCAGACACAGAGAAAATCCCCCAGGCAAGTTCTGGAGCCAACAGAGGACGCCCCATCAGAGGATCAAACCAAGAAGCAGACACAGTCAACGGAGGAGATAGGACTGCCACAGAAGTCCAAAACAGAGGAGACGCTAGGAGACTCTACTGAGGAGACGAGTCTAGAGCCACCAGAACAGATTAAGCCAGAATTCCCAGAGAAAGAACCTGGAAAACCAGCTGAGGAAACAGGTCAAGTGCCACCACAGCAAACTGAACCAGAGGCTCAAGAGAAGACAATAACCAAGCCAGCTGAGGAGAGAAGTCTTGAGTTACCAGATGAAACCAAACAGAGAGAGACCCGTGTAGACTTTTCCCAGGGAGACAGGTCAGAACCAGTCGCATCTGGAGACAAGGATGAGCTAGAGCACCCTGAAAACCTTAAGAAAGACATTGCATTAGAATCTGTCATAGACAGTGAAGTCATATCAGTTACTACAGATTATGAATATTATCCAGAACTCCAAAAAGTGGCTCCACCTGAAGATACCAGTACTCAGTACTCAAGCATATATCCCTCAGAGACTCAGATTGGATTTGGAGACCTTACTGAAGAGACTGTAGATTTGTCCCAAGAGTTGAAGCAACCAGTACCTAAAGGGAAACGAATCCAGCATACACAAAGAATTGTGCCACAATTTGATTATCTTCAGTGGAGCCCAGAGAGGGTTGCAGAGTGGATTAGTGAGCTAGGCTTCCCTCAATACAAGGTATACCAAAATAACTTCCTGAAATCACATGCTCTCATCCTTCTGCTTCCCATGTTCCTCTACCTTGACCTGCGCTCTTAGCTCTTCTTCACTAGCAGCAGTATAAAAAAGTTCTAGACTGTGATAAAGGTAACTTGGATTTTAATTACGGCTTTGCCACTAATGTATTTGTACTTTGGGGGAGTGAAGAAGGAACACGTTTGTTTTTCCTATTCATTCTAGTGATTACTCGTCTCTGCAAAACTTGACTAAGGACCAAGAAATTTATATGGCTCCTTTCCACCAAAACAAACAAACAAAAACACCTATTTTTAAATAGGTTCTGTCTAAAGCAGGCTTTTTGTTACTTTGTCAGGTTTTTTAGTGGCAGCTTACACTATTAATCTTTCAGTGCCTGCCCCCAAGGATTCATACGTTATATGTATCATGAAAACCTAAGAGTATTACGGTGATCCCATTAGCCAAAAATCATTTTATTGAAAAGATAGTGTAAGTTTCTTATTTTACCGATGCCAACTGTTTTGAGGTTACCACCAAACAACATGAGCTCTTCTGTACCTTCCTGTATTTAAAAATGTGATTAAGACATGAAGAGGCACTGGTTGTAGCTGCCAAAAGAAATTTAAGCAGCAGTTTAATCTCAGAGCTGGGGTGGAAAAAAAGTGTAGAACTATTAAGATAGAAAATAAGTTGAGATTTTGTTCTTAGTATAGAACTGGTGACAAACATAATTTTCCATCTTCATTCTCTCCCTCCCCACTTCCGTCCCTGCTCCCCTTCTATTTATGGTTCATGTTTTGAGTGATGTTCTTGCACTGACAGGAGTGTTTCACTGCAAACTTCATCAGTGGCCGAAAACTCATCCACGTAAACTGCTCAAACCTCCCGCAGATGGGGATAACAGATTTTGAGCACATGAAGGTGAGTTGTGTACACAGTGTTCCTACAGAGCACTTCAACAGTGCTGCCATCGGCCTCCGACCGGCCTCTCTGTCTTCCAACTTGTGTCGAAGGCGTCATCGTACTCCAAGTCCCCAGGCTCTCAGGGGTTGCTTCCTCTCTCTCCTTCAATCCGCACAGAGGTCCAGGAACTGTCAGTTCCACCCGTGGCACTGAGGCCATCTGGTTTTCTCCAGTCCCACTTTTCAGACCTTTTAGTGCCTCAGACCTAGAACACTGTGCAGGCCTCCTGCTTTCAGTGTCTCTCCATAAATCCTTTGTGTTTAAGGGCCCCACTTTTAGGCCCTTACTTTCCAACTATTTATGTACTATTCAGAAACCTTTGTAGGATTCCCTCTGCTTTCAAGACAGTCTCAGTGCCATAGTTACAAGTTCAAGGCTGCGCACAAGTGTTCTCCAGTCACCGTTCTTTTCCTGACCATCTTCTATGTAAATCTGCTCCCACCTGCCAGGTCTAATTCTCTCTCACAAGCCTGTCTGGTGCAGTCCTGTGTCTTTGCTGAGTTCCTCCTTCCCTGTGAATCGGAATCATCTTCCTTTTCATTCTCAGTTCCCTGTTCAACCCACAGTAACCTCTCCTCCCAAGTTCTCATAATACTGTATTTCTCCAATACCCATTAGACAAGGATACTTCAAAAAGTTCATGGGAAAGTGGAATTAAAAGATAAGCTTAGAGGTAGGTGATTGGTGCAGTGGTTAAGATACCATTCAGGTTGTCCATGTCCCATGTCAGAATGGCCACATTTGGGTCCTGGCTTCACATCCAGTTCTAGCTTCCTGCTACTGCAGACCCTGGGAGGCAATGGTGATGGCTCAAGTATTTTTGGTCTCTGAATTCTGGGTTCCTGGCTTCAGCCTGGCCCAGCCCCAGCTATTCTGGACATTTAGGAAGTCAAACAGTGAATGGAAGTTCTCTCTCTCTCTGTCTCTCTGCCTTTTGAATAAAAATAAAGTCAATAATTCAGTATTTAAAAGTTGCATAACAGGCTGGCGCCGCAGCTCACTAGGCTAATCCTCCGCCTGCAGACCGGCACCCCAGGTTCTAGTCCCAGTCAGGGAGCTGGATTCTGTCCCGGTTGCCCCCCTTCCAGGCCAGCTTTCTGCTGTGGCCCGGGAGTGCAGTGGAGGATGGCCCAAGTGCTTGGCCCCTGCACCTGCATGGGAGACCAGGAGAAGCACCTGGCTCCTGGCTTCGTATCAGCTCAGTGCGCCAGCCACAGCAGCCATTGCGGGGTGAACCAACAGAAAAGGAAGACCTTTCTCTCTGTCTCTCTCTCACTGTCCACTCTGCCTGTCAAAAATTTTTTTAAAAAGTTGCATAACAAAGAACATTTTAGGGGCAGACATTTGGCATAGCAGTTAAGACACCACTTGGAATGCCCACATCCCATATCAGTGTGCCTAAGTTCAAGTCCCATTTCTGTTCCCATTTCCAACTTTCTGTTAATGTGCACCCTGGAACGCAGCACGTGATGGCTCAGGTGACTGGGTCCCTGCCCCCATTGTGGGAGACTGGGATTGAGTTCTGGGTCCCAGCTTCAGCCTGGAACAGCCCTGGCTGTTGTGGGCATTTGAGGAGTGAACAAGAAGATAGGAAATCCATCCATCATGTTATGTAAATCAACAAGCAGATCTTAAGGAGACTATAAATGTCTCTGTCTTTCCCTTTCAAATGAAATGAAAAAAGACAAAAGCAAAAAGAGAAAACTAGAACATGGATTGGAAAGTCACAGAATGGGTTTGAAATCTGTTTCTGACCCATAGGATTTTTTTAAGTACCAAGAACTTCAAATTTTTATCATGAAAAGGCCTTTTTAAGGGTCTTCCAATTCATTTTCCTTCCTTGATATTCAAATTCTCAAAAGTATGAAATCATATGATTCTATGAGTCATCTAGGGATCACTCAGGGCCTATTCTGCCCCAGGTGAAGCATGATGGAGTCGTAGAAACTACCTTTTTTGAAAAAAATCTCATATGAATCTGAAGACTTTCCAAGTTTGGAGCATTTATGGACATGGGTACTGAGTGAAACCACTGTTAAAATGGGGACAAATGAGACTATATATGTGATGCTTTGTAAATGGCAAAACACTATAAATGGTGGGCCCTGTTATGCAAAGGAATGGTGACCATGGACTGTTGGTGCTGGAGATAACGGGAAATTGGTGCCCAGACAGGTTAACCTAACTTGTTTCAAAGGATCACTTATTATACTTTGGTATTTCCAGCCATGCCCTCACATAGCTACCAAGTACTGCCAGATAGATATTTTCAAAGGTGATACTTCCAGTGTTTATGAACTATAATTTCTACTTATATTTACACTGTACTGAATTTCCTAAATGAAAATAAGGAACAAAATTAGCAAAATAGTAATTTGTAATCCAAATTCTTAAAATATTTAAGTACCAAGAACTCCAACTTTTTATCATGAAAAGGCCTTTTTAAGGGTCTGCCAATTCGTTTTGCTTCCTTGATATTCAAATTCTTAAAGTATAAAATCAGGCCGGCACCGTGGCTCACTTGGTTAATCCTCTGCCTGCGGCGCTGGCATCCCATATGGGCGCCAGGTTCTAGTCCCGGTTGCTCCTCTTCCAGTCCAGCTCTCTGCTATTGGCTCAAGTGCTTGGGCCCCTGCACCCGCATGGGAGACCAGGAGGAAGCACCTGGTTCCTGGCTTCGGATCGGTGCAGCGCCAGCTGTAGTGGCCATTTGGGGGGTGAACCAATGGAAGGAAGACCTTTCTGTCTCGCTCTGTCACTGTCTAACTCTGCCTGTCAAGAAAAAAAAAAAAAAAAGGTATATTAGACAAGATTTACTTGACACTTAGAGCCTCATTTAAAAAAAAAAAAAAAAAAAAAAAAAAAAAAAAAAAGCTAACTAGGAGCAGCAATTAGCCTAGCAGGTAAAATGCTGGTTACCATGCCCATACTCCAGAGCCAGCGTTGTGGCCTAGCAAGTAAAGCCATCACCTGCAACAACAGCATCCTGTTTGGGTGCTGGTTCATGTCTTGGCCACTTGCGATCCATCTCCTTGCTAAGGGCCTGGGAAAAGGCAATGGAAGATGACCCTAGTGTTTGGGCCCCTTCCACCCATGTGGGAGACCTGGCTGAAGCTCGTGGCTCCTAGCTTCCACTCTGGCCCTGGGCTGGCCATTGTGGCCATCTAGGGAGTGAACCGTGGATGGATGATTCTCTCTCTCTGTCTCTCTCCCTCTGTCTGTAACTCTGACTTTTAGAAATAAATAAATAAATCTTTTTGTAAAAAATTCCCGCATCCCATATCACGCTACCTGGGTTTGATTTCCAGCTCCAGCTTTGGATTGCAGCTTCCTGAAAATGCAGTGGTAATAGCTCAAGTAATTGGGTTCCTGCCACCCATGTGGGAGATCTGAATTGAGTTCCTAGCTCCTAGCTCCAGTCCCTCTACCCCTACTGTTGAGGCATTGGGGAGTGAATCAGCAGAGGAAAGTTCTTTTTTTCCTTTGTTGCTGTGTCTTTAAGATAATAAATATCGGCCTGCGTCATGGCTCACTAGGCTAATCCTCCACCTGCGTCACTGGCACACCGGGTTCTAGTCCCGGTCGGGGCACCAGATTCTGTCCCAGTTGCCCCTCTTCCAGGCCAGCTCTCTGCTGTGGCCAGGGAAGGCAGTGGAGGATGGCCCAAGTGCTTGGGTCCTGCACCCGCATGTGAGACCAGGATAAGTACCTGGCTCCTGCCATCGGATCAGTGCGGTGTGCCAGCTGCAGCGCGCCGGCCACGGCGGCTGTTGGAGGGTGAACCAACAGCAAAGGAAGACCTTTCTCTCTGTCTCTCTCCTCTCTCACTGTCCACTCTGCCTGTAAAAAAAAATAATAAATATTAAAAAGGGGTGGATGGAGACAGTCTTACTTATCGCAGGGACATGCTAGACAAGATAGCATTCCACTTGGCTTATCTTCATCTTCCTCTCTTTGAAAATAATTCTCAAAATATTTTTAACTATTCACTACATCAAGTGAACAAAAGAATTCTGATGAATATCTAGAGAACATAGTTGAGTACTTACTCCTTTGTATACATGATTTTTATAAAGTATAGCTTTAGAGGTTTTACAGTACCTCAGCAATTTTATTATACTTGCCTGTGGCAAGCTTTTTAACACAAAGGTGTAACACCATATTAGCAATAGAGTCTTACTAGACAAAGCTTATTTATTTATTTATTTGAAAGAGTTACAGAGAGAGAGAGAGAGGTCTTCCATCCGTTGGTTCACTCCCCAATTGACCGCAATGGCCAGAGCTGTGCCGATCCGAAGCCAGGAGCCAGAAGCTTCCTCCAGATCTCCCACACGGGTGCAGGGGCCCAAAGACTTGGGCCATCTTCCCTTTCCTTTCCAGGCCATAGCAAAGAGCTGGATTAGAAGTGGAGCAGCCGGGACTCGAACTGGTGCCTATATGGGATGCCGGCACCACAGGTGGAAGCTTAGACCACTAAATTTTTATTGATAATTTCAGTTTTACGAAAGATTGCAAAGATGGTACAGAGAGTTTCTGTATGGTTTTTTTTTTTTTTTTGACAGGCAGAGTGGACAGTGAGAGAGAGAGACAGAGAGAAAGGTCTTCCTTTTCTGTTGGTTCACCCCGCAATGGCCGCTGTGGCTGGTGCACTGAGCTGATACGAAGCCAGGAGCCAGGTACTTATCCTGGTCTCCCATGGGGTGCAGGGCCCAAGGACTTGGGCCATCCTCCACTGCACTCCCTGGCCACAGCAGAGAGCTGGCCTGGAAGAGGGGCAACCAGGACAGAATCTAGCACCCCGACCGGGACTAGAACCTGGTGTGCTGGCGCCACAAGGTGGAGGATTAGCCTAGTGAGCCGCGGTGCCGGCCCATTTCTGTGTGCTCTTAACCTTAGCTTCCCCTAATGTTGACATCTGAAATGAACAATGGTATAGCACTGTATTACTAACCAACTGA